ACTTCGCTGATCATCACAGTCTATAAGAAGGGAGAGAAATCTTGTCACAACTACAAGGGAATTCGTTTGGTTAGTATTGTGTCCAAGCTCCTGGGGTCCATAGTTACCGGACGCATAGCTGGAACTGAAGAAAACCAGGTAGGTTTCAGATCTGGACGAGAGTCGATTGATCATCATTTCACTCTCTGACAGGTTCTGGGACACAGGCATACCTACTGGTGGCCGACACATATTTCTTGACCTGAATGCGATATTTGACTCTGTCGATCATTAGGTGTTGTGTTTGACTGTGAGGGGAGTACCGGGTAAGTGTATGACACTAATCGAAGCTCTTTACTCGAATTCAGGCAACCGTGTAAGAGCTTATGGAGAGTTGTCATATGAGTCGACAACTAGTGGTGTTCGCCAGGGATACCCACTGTCATCGTTCCTATTTAACTTCGTTATAGATCTACTAATGGAAGTCTGATATGAGGTCTGGCAACTCGGACCGTTACGCAGTAATGCCTGGTCCTATGTTGATAATGATGATGACTAATGGAAGTAACCTAAGGTATAGGAATGAACCTACTCCCCGGAGATAATCTGGTTGACTTTGAGCCTGCAGACGGTATTGTCCTGTCAGGTGAAGACACTGGTGCAATGCAGGGTTTTCTGGGTCGAAATCTGCGTATGTTTGGCATGCGTCTAGCTGCATCTGTAGCATATACGTTGGTACCATAGGATTGGTATGCAACCACTCCCAGCTTAATTATAGGGAATGAAGTGGCGGAATATGTCAACCACTTCACTTACTTGGGAAGTGGCATCAGCCTGAATGGGTTTGGTTGCCGATGAAATCTCAGCTCGGATACAGAAAGCCCGTTTAGCATTCACCAACTTGCGCCACCCGGGGTACCGGAAAGAGATTCAACCATCTATCAAAGAACGAGTATACTGTGATGCAGTCCGTTGTATCCTGTTGCGAGATTTGGCCGTTAAAAGTAGAAGACATGAAGCGATTACAGTTTCAACTCAGGCTGCATCACATCATTTGTCTCTGGAGTGGGTCGGTGGAAGATTGCCTTTTCTTCTGAATTATCTTTGAACAGTGATAATGTGTTGGTCCAAGCAGGTGTGTCTGCGCATAAGTGGACGTAGAAAGACTACGACTAAAATGCCATTACGAGCTCTACTGCATGATAGTTTTGTCAAGGCTGCCTTCGCCAAAGAACTGGCTAGATAGCTGTCGGGACAAGATTACTTCACTCGTCCTGCAGAAGTTTAATGCCATCTTCAGTCGACTTTACAAATAGCGTTAACGACTTACTGGTTCAGAAAAAGATTAGAAACGGTTAGTCTATTTCAGCAGCTTCTGAATTAACCGTCGCATGTGAACTTATTTGTGCAAGTTCCAAACTGAAAAGCGAAAACAACTGAAATATGAGCTGACTACGAGTCTACGCAATGACCGTGGGCAGTGAAGTCTGTAAACATGAAAAAATCAGCGGCGACAATCGATACTTACTTAGACTTATCGAGGGAATGGGTGAAAGTTACTGGTTAACGGAAGTGCATCGAAGAAGGATAGGTCTACTGTTCACTCGCATGAAGGACGGCTGGAACCTTGAGGTGAATACTTCGAGAAGTAGTCAAACTGGTCTTCATTTAGTCATCGGTTGCCTGCTATTCAGTCGGTTCGTGAAGAAAACACCTAAATAGACCCTAAAACCCTTACGGAAGTTCGGAAGGCTGTAAGTAACATGAAAAAATAGCGTATTTAAGGACCGGTGGAGAATTGTTAGTTATTTACTGGAATGTTAAGCTAGAGTATGGGAATCAAATATGATTTCTGCTGACTGATCTCAGTCACTGATTGTCCCAGTCTTCGAGGAAGCCGAAAAAGCCTCCCGTGAATAATGACAGGGAAGTCAGTCTAACGAAGGATATTGTCCGAGGTTCTAGGCTCTATAATCGCTAGGCGCGTTAGGGAAGCTCAGCAGCACCAAACCTGAGAAAAATAGGCAGGTTTTAAAACTGGCTGTGGGTGCACTGACCAAATCACCCCCGTCAGGTCCTGGGACGCAGACATTTCTTGACTTGAAGCCGACACTTGACTCCGTTTATCAAAAGCCTTTAGAGCAGTATCAGGGAACTTGACATGCTGAAGCTTGTGTTCGAACACCCGTGAGTGTTAAGGCTGATGGTGAGGTACCAGGTTAGTTATGTCGATTGATGTTCGTCAAGGATATCCCCTCACACAATTAGATAATTCATAGCTTCATGTGGAATAAACTAAAGATTCGATGATCACTCTGAGTCTTATTTGTCATGCGTGGTAAGGATGAGATAGACTAATTATAACTAACGAACTAATCATTTACGTCAACGATATGGATGAATGTGTAACATCCATCTGTCGATAGATTTTCTTCTAGCCTGTAGGTGGATGCGTTAATGCAGGGGGCGCGTAGGGTCTAAGTTTAGTGGTGACCACGGGAATCTGGAAGGAAAAGAGGTTTATTCAACTTATCTGGCTATTATGGTTGAGCTAAGGACTCCTAAATTTGCGTGTATGCATACTCGTTAAAACAAAAACTTAAAATGCCTTTAGCATCCGGAGGCAAGCTAGAATTTTATCTAGTTTATTCAACTTAATCTATTTATTTTGTCCTTAGTTGCATTTTAGTGCCAAGAAGGTGCACTATAAATACAAAACAAGCCTCTTAGTGGATGACGAACCCGGGAACGACACATCCAGAGGCGCTTGCACGATGAGGTTTAAAATTCAAGTCCGTTTCGATCCTACCCTCCGCCTCCGATAGTTTTCAAACAATGCTTTGTATTTGTCTACTTTCATTAATTATTTGAGCTAAGCGTAGTGTATTACTGTTTATCATGAATCGTTCTTAGTTGGAGTGGCTAACGTTTCAGAAGTCCTTATAAGTCATTTAGACTCAAATTTAAGTTACATAGTTTGTTCTGCATCACTGGGTCAATTTGTTTCTCACACAAGTGACTAAAGTTCTCGGTTGGTTACACAAATTTCCCCAACTATTGGAGATGTAACTGGCAGCCGACATACTATTAAGCAGGCTGTAAGTAGACATTGCTTTTGGAGTGATTATGACTTACTACCCTGGATACTCGACTTTCCTGTCAAGTTAGACGCCCTAGAATTTCACCTACTTGGTATAGGCAACTGTTCACTGTCGTTACCTACCTTATAGTAGGCATAATGGTCACCGACTTACTTGGTCGGTTGCTGCACAACTGGTTTCAAAATTAAAAGTTATGAAGATACCTTACTGTATAATCCCTTGAAAACATAGCATGCCAGCAAAAACGGTTAGAATTTTCTAGGGCATCAAAAATAGTCGTTTATCTGAAACATTGTCTTCGCATGTTCATTAGACGTATTCATAGTTTTCTACTATATTGAAAAACCAAAAAACCCATATTTTCCCTAACATAAAGAATAATTTGTTTTGGAAGCAGCTTTTGCAACTAGTATATTCTGTTACCTGCGTTGTTTTGTCTGAGTTTAAAATAGTACAACACGGTAAACACGTATATTTCTGTACACTAGGCTAAGGTCCTCACTTATTGGTAAGGCATACCACAGGGTTATCCAAGTCTGAGTAAGTGGGATGAAGTTCAAACCTGTTAAAAGCTGGTTGAAAGTTAACTTCTGAAATCAACAAGCCACAGCTATAATGGTGGTAGTTCTATCACGTGCTATTACTCTATTGCAGTTATCTAGGTATCATAATTTTTAGCATCTTAACTCGTAGCACTTAAACCAGGATTTTGAGTGCGTTTTTTTTGTATAGGACCAGATGAAAACGTGTGTTGCTGCAGCCCATTGGCTAGGAATTTGATTTTCATTTAGTGGAGCATGGGATTGAGACCCACCGTACCTACCAAGATTTAGGCACTCCGTATTGTTACTCGCATAGTAGGTGTATCTTGTGATATAGCACAAGAACCTGCGTATGGTTGCTTGTGTGAATAACTATTTGAGTTTCTGAGGAAAAAAGAACGAAAAAGAATCGATTTTGTTTGAACTCACTGCTCTACTTGGTTCACAATGTCGATGATTGATAGTCATATCCACTTACATAGAGCCATAGCTTACTAGCTGGGGTTACTGATTGCCAATTTGTATTACAAGTTTGAATCTTATTCCAAATACTCGAAAAATCGAAACCCACTCAACAACTTTGTGCACATTCGTGCAGTAGGAAATGAGGTACACATATTATGAGAGAGCTAGTGATACTACCTGGCGGCCCAAACCTCGGTTGATGAAGCGGTGTTGGAACCCGCGACCCACTGGTTGAAAGTCAACTCCTTAAACCAATAAGGCACAACTCCACATTCCAAACACTAGGTTTATATAGCTAGGGAGTATCATTAGAATTCGTAAAATGATTTCACTTCACCCTATTTCACTGACATGTACGTGGTGAGTGGAGCTACTGCAGACAACCTACGCCTTAAGTTCCTTGCGGTTCGTGTATTTGATGCATTTATTAAGTAGTTATCTACAGATATATATATATATATATATATATATATATATATATATATATATATATATATATATAAGAGCTGGGTTGTTGGCAAGAAACGTGATCACTAAATGGAGTTGAATAATAATTCGATTCAAAGCAGATGTGAACTGTTTGGCTCTAGACTACTCACTATCTCCAAGAAACATTTCCATATACCCAGACTCCCAGATCGACATAAATATGACTGAAGTAAGGGGTATCAAGTGGGTTTAGAATTGCGCATAATATTGTGGTTGTATCTGCATCTTCAAGACTAATTAAATAAAATGCATAATTGGTCTCTCCTAGTATTATGTTGAGCTATATTTTGTGCTTTAAAGTGGTGTGATGTCAGGAAATGCTGTACGGTTTTGTCTGACCTAAACATTGTGGCAGCAAGTCTAAACGTTTCTCGCTCTTAATCATGCATCTATAGCCGTTTCCCTATCATCATCTTTCACAAAATATGGGGAAGTCGGTCATACATGTGGAGCCTATCATAATATGTGAATACTTCGTAGACCTCGCAAAATGCGTGAGGAAGTGATTCGTGAGGAGCAGGCCGGGTTTCGTTCAGGTCATGGTTCTATCTACCAAGAAATATGCGTCTGGTTACTGTGCTACTGATATGGCGGTACCACGACACGCGACCTATGCTACGAAGGCAATGGTGGTCAAACACCAGAAGCCTTTTCATGCCCTCTGCCTTTAGTAACCATTTTTTACACCCACATAGGTGGACAGAGTGAACTGAAGCGCAGAAGACTCGACCTTTAGTAGGCAGTTGGAAATCACGTTAACACCATAAACGGGGTACGTTGTTAAAATTCAACCGAATCTTTATTTTATGCATGCAGAGATCCCGTTTGCCACTGACCCACCGGGGTTGAGCCGTTTTCGTCCATTCTGCCTTGTCCTCTTTTGACTACTTTCTACCACTTTTGAATCCTTTCTCAATTTCACTACCTTGTATCTCAGATCGTTCTCACTTTATGTACTGGTATGAGGTAGGAAAACTTGGAAATGTTACTATTGGCCTTGTTAGGAATTTGGTTAACGTAGTAACCTTCATTCATTGGTCTCTAGGTCTCCCGCATGTGGTTCACGTTGATCCAAGTATCAAATCATTTGGTATCCAGTCATACTGTAAATAAAAAGTGGAGTTATTCTGTTTTTATTACTTCACGCATTTGTTCGCCAGATCATCTGTCATTTGCATTTGCTGCATCGCCTTTCTAAGGACTCATTGAGCGGTTTCAGACGGATTTTTCGTATCCAGTTTTCTTGACGGCAAGGTTTCCTCAGCTAGAACTACAATGACATCCTCTAAACTATTTGAACCACTGTCTCCATTCCACAATCAGAACACTGTACGTTTATATTGTGTCATTGCATCTGATTCAGTATGTTAATTTTCGAAGTATCATATAGTTGAGTGTTTTTCTAAACTTTCGTCTTAGCGACTTTAGTCATTATTTTGAACCCTTTTATGGGCATATGTGTATTATTACCTTATACACCAGTAAGGAGATTAAGAAACATACTTCGTATATTACTGCATCACTTCACCTTCCCAGAATTCGCAGTGTCATAGCAAAGTATTTGGTGTGTACTAAGATTTTGAAACTAAAAGTAATCATGATTACGGAAATGTATTTAATAGTTCATGTAAATATTTGGTTACCGTTTTATGTAGCAATTGTTTATCCTCAATGTAGGCTTCACGTCTAAGTATCATGTAGAACTTCTATATGAAACACTTGATCCTATAAACGTATATTAGAAACGTTAAAGGCTGTGTCTGAACACTCATGAGGGTGTTAGAGCCGATGGTGAGGTATCGGGTTAGTCGTGTATGTCGATTGATGTTCGTCAAGGATATCCTCTCTCTCTCCATTCTTATTTAGTTTTGTCTAGTCGTACTTATGGAAACCTCCCTCTCTTTATCTGACTACAGTGATTAACTTTATCACATAGGACCTCCTAGTAATCCCAGAGTACACAGATGAACAGTCCTGTGTAGTGAAGATGCTGATGAGATGCAAAGTCTTCTGGATACTTTAACTGGAAATTTGGAAATGTCTTGGGATGCAATCCTCACCATGCGAATGCAAGTTGTTACTCCGGAACTGGTTTGCGTTGGTGCGTCGTCCAACAGTGAGGAATGAAGTGGTTGGGCACGTTTAAAATAAAGATTCGGTTGGATTTTGCCAACGTACTCCGTTAATGGTTCCAGCGTAATATCCGATTACCTACTAAGGGTCGAGTGTACTGCGCTTCAGTTCACTCTGTCCATCTATATGAGTGTAAAAATGGCCAGTAAAGGTAGAGGACATGTGAGGGCTTCTGATGTTTGACCACCATTGCCTTCGTAGCACAGGCCGTGTGTCGTGGTACCGCCACATCAGCGGCATAGTAGTGAGACGTATGATTTTAGGTAGAAGATGAGAGTCAGTTGCTGAGGTTTTGAGCTTTCGTTGCTTCAAATGGCTGAGGCATGTATGACGCATGTTTAGTAACTGTCTGCCTCGTCGCGCAATATTATTTTAAGTGGACCTTGACTATAAAGAGGTTAAAGGTGATCAGATTAAGACATGCCGCCTCCGGGCGAAGTGTTCGGCTGTTGGTTTGAGCAATGCAAAGAAAAGTAGACTTCCCGGTCAGGATTACTGTGACAACCGAAATCGGTGGTTGGAGACTGTGGGTGGTCTGGCTCAGAATTGATGTAACTGGCATCGATTTTTCAACACATTGTCGTCATCTTATTCATCATGCTGAATTTCATCAATATCTTATTCTTTGTTCTCTTTTAGCAACTTTGTACTACTTTGGTTCCTTTTTTGTTATTCTTTTTGTGTGCTTACTACCTGTGTGTGTAATTTGAATTGTGGCCAGGTGAACGGTTACGAAGCATTTTCATATATAGTTTGTCGTTTATATAGGCTATATGATGTATGTTAGAAATTGTTGAAGTAGTTTGTATCGTGGATATTCTGCTATCGCCTTCATTTTTTTTCACATCTGAGCTTTTAATTGTTTGTAGGAAACAAAATGTACATGGGACAAATCCGGAAAGAATTATTGGTTCTCCATTTTGGCCTCCTTTTAGTGGAGCTGCACCTGGAATAAACCTTAAAACCATTCCTTGTTCAACAGAACGTTATTCGTACAAGTTGGAAGGTCAGTCTTCGAATCTAAATGTCTTTCAACCTGACCCATCAAAGAGGAGCCACCGACATCAACCAGCCCCACAGTTGTCTCGTATTTTAAGACCTAGGCGATTTGTCTGTCGAAAGTGTAAGAAAGCATTCCATCTTGAAGAGCAAGGTACAGAACTCTCCTCCACTGTTCTCACCGATCAGTTAGATCGTCGAACTTCGGATTCATCTGCTCTAAATTCAGATAGTGAAGTAAGTCACTGTCTTTTAAAAAGTGAATTTCCTGATCAAAATATGTTAGCATTGCTCAATGGGAATTCTCAGTCTATTCGCCATGTTACTCCTTCAATCATCCCTAAACTAAATGAGGAAATTGAAGCAACCACGAGTGACTCATCGAAAGCCCATATTGTTTCTAGCACAGAGGTTCAACCAAAACCTAAGAAGCATTTGCGTTCAGAACAATCTCCTAAAACTTCAGAATCGTTAGAAACAAAATCGACCGTACTGAAAAAACGCAAAGTTGATGCTGTTCTTGAAAAGCCAAAGTTGAAAAAGATGAAGCTTAGTTCTCAAAAATCTACTGAGCAAGTTAATCTCAGTAGCGCGCCAGCATCTCTGATCACGGATCAAGTATCTGATTCTGTTGCACATTTTTCTACAGAGGGAGCTAAAAATCCTCCTGTTTCTCCAAACTCGGTCCCTAACCTACCTGTAGGTGATTCTTTATCACAGGAACAAATTCGTAGGAATCGCATCAAAGCTCAATATGTTTCTGTTGCTTCTCCTTTCCGTTTTCCTTTTGGGAAGAAGTCGAAAATTTCACACACTCAAGTTAGTGGAAGTTCAGGTTCTGTTAGTGATAGCAAAATAAAAAGTGAAGCAAATTCTAATCGTATGCAATCAGAAAAACCAGCTGTACATTCAGTAACATCTCCGAAACCGAATCTCTCCGGTGTACGACAGAATTCTCGATACCGTACTCGGACTCAACTTAACTCAGTTTCTATCGTTCCTGAACCATTAGATCTTCCAGATCCTGTGAACAGTATGGAAGAGTGTCCTCATACAAGTGAAGTTTCACCTCAACCTACTCAAGGTATTGATTCCTCTCAAAAGGAAAGCAATTCTTCTAACTTAAGCCCTCATATGTCGAGTTCACAAACAGTTTCATCAAAGGAGAAGCATTCAACTTCAGTGCAACTGACTTGCAAGATATCAACGTCCGGACACTCATCTATTTCCAACAATACTGGAATTTCAACCAGTGATGGTAATTTCTCTCCCCAAGGGCGTCGTAAAGCTTTTGATTATGAGAAACCAAAGAATAGATGGATGCGTGAAGCTCGAGCTAGAAGAGGTCAAGAAGAACGAAGTAATAGTCTTATGTCCTCTGCAACAAATCATGGTACAGCTTCATCCAATAGTACAGATATGGATTACTTCACTGCGACCAATGTGCAGTCTTCTAGTTTAGGTCGACTTAGAATAAGGTCGGGTGATGGACTGAGTGCTACTTCTAATGAAACTGCGTCAAAAGTCAGCAACAGTGCTTTACCAAAAGCCAAACTTCCTAATGGGCCTTTAAATAACCGTAGCACCGAACTAACGGATTGTTCACAAATTGAAAAATATTCAAACGATGTTGACCATGTTTCTGCGTCAATATCTCATGTATCTCCTTGTTTGCCTTCGTCTACTGAAAACTCTGGTCTTACCCTTCCTGTTTTAAAAATTAAAATTAATCGGAGTCGGCAACCTTCCAGTTGCTCAAAAAGTGCACCAACACAGTATGAAGTAGTTAAATTCCAAGCAACGGATATACCTTCAGAAACAGCTGTGTCAGCTTCTGAGGTTTCTAATGAAGAAGCTTGTTCAATCGCAAATGCAGATACTTCATCTTCTCCGGTCTCAAAGTCAGATATTCCTTGTAACGGAGTGTGTTCACCATCATCGTCTCCATCCGTTGAATCTTCGAAAAAAGGATTTACTGGCGATAGTTCAGTAGTATCAGGTCCTTTAGTGAAGCACTGTAAGTTAACCGATGGCAGTGTTTTCCGTGTTGGTGATCTTGTCTGGAGTAAACTTTCAGGTTGGCCCTACTGGCCTGCACAAATTACTAGTATACAACGTGTAACTGGTACTGAAACCGACTCATCAAGTCCTGAACAAGAAAAACTTAAAATAGATTCCCAAGAAAAATTGCCTCCTATTTCAACAACAGAACAAGGTTGTTATACTGCATGCCTTCATTGGTTTGCTTGGCATCAGGTTTCTTATATGCCATGTGATAAGCTATTTCATTTTCTCGAGCATTGTAAGCGGTTTGACAATAAAAAGAAACGCGGGGTTTTTCGACAAGCAGTTAATGAAGCAAAACAAGCTTCAGAAAAAAGACAAGAAATTCATCCTAGTGACAGTGGAAGTGAATGGGAGCACGAAGCAGTAGGCGATACATGTGGACAACCTGCCATTGACCAACCTTCCGAAACTTGTATCACTGACAGTTCTAAACAATCTCTTGAAATCTCTCAACCGGAATCGTCATTCCTTGTATCTGATGCGAACCTTGCCCAAGAAGCGGATACTATTACAACAACTACTACAAGGATGAATATATCTCCTTCTTCCAAAATAAAAAAAGGTAAACGCAAAGATAGTCACAGCAAACGAAAAAGTTCAGTAACCTGTACAATTGTCGATTCTTTGAATACATCTCTGGGTACAGCAACTACAAGCGAGCAAAACCACCAGAATGTTATATCAAAAACACTTAAGTCCCGTACAGTATCTAGACGTGGATCAAAACGTCAAGGTCAAAGTATTATGTCTAATAATTCTGAAGAGGGGAATTTGTCATCAAACGAATATGATTCTTTAACAAGCTCTGAGTCTAGCGTTCGCTTAAAGATAATCCTTTCAAAGCCTAAATCGAAAAGTAGACTTAATCGTACCGAGATTGTGAGAAATGAAACGCAGAGTCCTCACAAAAATGAGGTGCATAGCTCCTGTTCAGAGAATTTGGACCTTCTAATCGCTGAAAACAATCAACCACAAACTGTCATAGACTCATCTACTCAAGCATTGGAAGATCCAAATACTTCTGAACCTAATCAGAAATCAAATTTATCAACTACTGGTTCACAAGATATGGACAGAAGTTTTAGTGCTACACATTCAGAACTCTTGACGCAATTTCCACATGTATTTCCTGATCTTAAAGTTTCAGGTATTCTTTCTGACACTGTCGACATACCTACATTTTCTGAGGATGAATCTGAAGAGGAAGATGCTGGTCGTCTGATAATTGACCCTGATGTAATGGCTTCAGTCAATGTCCCATTATCAACTAATAATCATTACATAACCGAGAGTTTGAAACAAGAACCAGATATTCTTCGAGAGGATTTGTACAGTCTTTCTTCTACAAGTTTGTCCTACAATCGGGAGCCACCACCACAACATACCTTTGGTAATGTTCATTCATACTCGCAAGCTTCTTTAGCCTCTATTTCAGATCATCCAGTACCGAGTTTCGTAACTCCAGTTTACTCGTCGTCTGATTCATTTCCACATCACTCATATAATTCTTCAGCATATTCTACTGAATGCTTGATATCCCAATCAGTTCCAGTTTATCCACTTCTTACTCAATCATCAATAGCATCCACTGTTTCAAGATTATCATCCCCTCATTTGAAAGCATCAGATTTATCTAACTTACCAATTCCCGACAGAACTTCATATTTTCAGTCTAGTCATCTTAGAGTCCCATCAACTACAGCTCAAACTGTGCCTTATATAACCACTGAATATTCCACTTTATAATAGTAAGTTATTTTGCTTTAATTTCCTTTTTACTAATCTAAATTGTTCATACTTCGGTTATGGTTAATGTGAACGTAGGTCTTTCCAAAAACTTGGGACCAAAATACACTCATGGATTAGTTCATTACACCCTGTATGATGATTCAATATGAAAGTAAACCGAAGGGTAGATTGATGATCTGGATAAAAGTCTGAAAGCTATGCGTTTACGATTTTCAAGTTATAGAATAATCAAATTTCAGACAGATCGCGTACGTTTAAGTCATTGACATCAATTCTGGTATTTGTTCGTGAAGCTCATTGATTTAGGTAGTTGACTTTCAGCCAATGGGTCACAGATTCGAACATCACTCTACTTACTGAGGTTTGAGTAGCCAGGAAGTATTAGATCCGTTCAAAGATGCATTTCTGCTTGGGTTGTTTATTGGTGTCGAAACCACCCCCTAGAATGACTACATCTGAATGTTTCACTTGATATAACAGTACTGACAATTCTTTGTAACACTTCCGATTTCATTGGCGCAGGTACATCCATACATCTTCACAAGTTAGAACCCCACCCAACCTACCATGGTCTAGGCATCCAGGCAGTATCATTATTTCTCAAACAATGAGTGTGGTTCATCGCCTACTCCACAAATGCACACGTAGTTTCCTAGCTAATTTCGAAATCAAATTCCTCATCGTAATCATCATACTGAATTTACCTATAGTCACACTTCTTGTTCGCTTTACACTACTTTCTGCCACCACTTTGACTACTTCCGCGTTTCTCTGTTTCATATTGGTGGGTCCCTACTTTGATGTGTTGATATGATTCGTGCCAATCTGAACTGTTACGCCGTAATGTTAGGTCACATGTGGATTCTGACTGACATATATAAGTACTGCTGTAGTGACTTTCAAGTGACAAGTGAATTTTGGTCAGACACGTATGGAACGTCTCTATCTTTCGATGTTTTCTCGTGGCAGTAATCATATCATCCCTTGTTGTTTGGTTTTTGGGACTGCCTAATATAATGGAATGGAAAGATTTTATAGTATTTTGAAAAAAACATGAATTACCTGATTTTCATCTCTATGAATTTTTGGATATTAGTCAATGTGAGTTCTGCTTCGATTTTTGTCCATGATCCTATAATTGGCGGTAAACTGATTAAGGTTACGTGGCTGACCATCTGTTGCGTGCGTTTGCAATACTTACCAAACATACGCGGTTATGCTATTGATGCACAGTTGCCTCATTAAGTAATTTCTTTTATTTATTTTGTAGGTGAGTTGAACTTTCTTAACACTGAAGAAAGTATTTTACAATAGTAGTTTTATGTAACCGGGTTTTAGCTGAAGTGTAAATCACTGAGTTTGGCCTACCTGTTAACTGGTTCTCTGGTTGTGTCATACCTGTTCTACTGAGTAAAACACCTAAGAATAAGAATCGTATGCATTAGAATCCCTGCATAACTTTGTCTTTGGATAATGACAACACGTTGGTTCGTGTGCGTCTATGTCTTTGTTACAGTGGACGTGGGAAACAACAAGACCATTGCGGATACAGCTTGATAGTAAAAGCACTAAGGCTGCTTTCAGTGAAAAACCTGCTCGACAGTTATCGGGATAGAACAATATCGCTCATTCAGAAGAACCTTGGTGTCGTCTTCAGGCTGCCGTAAAAACAGCATTGAAGACTGCAGCCGACTCTTAAATAGTGGTTAAAAAAAGCCAGTGGGTCTCAATGGCGTCTTCTGAATTAACGGATGCACGCGAACTCATTTCTGCAGGCTCCAAGTGCAATGAAGAGCGAACGCAACTCACACGCAAATCGAAAAAAAGTCTACGCAATGGCTGCGAACCGTGGTGGGCAGCAAAGACTGAAGAGACGGAAAAGAAAGTGGTGACAGGTAACATAGGACAGTTATTTAAACTTAGCCAGGAAAATGGAGCGAAAATGTCAATGGTTAGTGGAACGGTAGAACAGAAGGATGGGTCTGCGATTAACTTGCATGGGGGATGGCTGGGATGAAGGGTGGGATACTTCTAGGAGCAGTTCAAATAGCCTCCAGCTACTATCTCACTGCCTATTATCCAATCGGAATAGAACATCGAGATAAGACCCCCAACACTTGCAGAAATCGGTAAAGCTGTAAACAATCTGAAACAAGGAGGAGCAGCAGATCCCGGCAGACTAGCACCATGGGTATTTAAGGATGGTGGTAGAGAATTACTCGTCAGATTAACGGGTGCATGGGAGTTAAATATGATCCCCTCTCACCGGTCTCAATCACTGATTGTCTCAGTCTTCGAGGAAGGTGATAGTTTCGTTTATGGAGGAATAAGTCTGACGAAAATAGTGTCTAAGATTTTAGATTCTATAATCATTGGACACCTGAGTGGAGCTCAGGAACAGCAAACGTGAGAAGACCGGATAGACTTCAAATCTGTCCGTGTGTGTCGACCAAATATTGACACTTCGCTAGGCTGTAGGACACAGGCAGACTTATCTACGCCTGACACTGGGTGTGTTTCTCGACCTAATACTGGCGTCCCACTTCGTTGATCAAGAGGTCTAATGACAGTGTGTCTCACCAAAAGGAGTGCTGAGTAAGTACACCACTCTGCTGAAGGTTTATTACACGAACACCTGTGAGCGTGTTAAAACCTGTTGTAATTTGTCAAGTGAAGTATGTACTCCAAGTGGTGTCCTTCAAGGGGCTCGCTGTCTCCATTCCTGTTCAATTCAGTCACAGACGTACACATAGAGGTCTCCTTTTTGTAGTGTGATTTCACAGAGATTGGTCTTATCACGGGAGAATCCTTGGTAGATCTAGAGTAAGGAGATAATGAAGTCCTATTAGGTAAGGATGCTGACGTGATGGATTGCTCTAAACACGTTGATTAGAAAATTAAGAATGTTCGGGATGCATTTCTCAGCACTCAAACACAATTTGTTGCTCTAAGACTGCCCTGTCTAACAATAGAGTGTGAAGTGGTTGAACACATTGACCACTTCATTTACCTGGGAAGTGAGATCAGTTCTGGTGGGTCTTTGACGGATGAAATCTCTGCACAGATACAAAAGGCTGATTTGACTTTTCTCATTTACGCCATCTATGGCACCTCCGTGATATCTGATTGCTCATTAAGAATTGAGTGTACTGTGCTGCAATTTACTCTGTTCTTCTGCATGGCTATGAAAAATGGCCACTAAAAGTGGAGGACATGAGAAAGCTTCTGGTGTTTGACCATTGTTTCCTTCGTTGCATAGGGTGTGTGTCATGGTGCCCCCACACCACTGGCGTAGTAGGCAGACGCATAGTTTTAGGTAGATGAGAGTCAGTTGTTGAGGTTTTGAGTCTTTATTGCTTCAGATGACTAGGACATGTGTTACGCATGTGTAGTCACTGTATGCCTCTTCGCGCAGTGTTATCTAAAGTAGGTTAGAGCATGACTCAGAATCGACCTTAGTGGTGTAGATGTATCCACACGTTATCCTCATCTTAGTCGTTATACCTGAATTCAGGATTTTCTCATCCCTCGTTTCTCTCTTTTAATGTTGTCCATTAATTTTGGTTGAGTTTTACCTCTTTCTTCATCTTTTATGTTACTGCCTTGTTACTTGTTGTGCTGATATCAGGTGTGGCAACATGAACCGTTGTTAAGTAATGCCTAGTTGTAGGTTGATATTGATTTGATGGATAAGTTTTGAATTGGTCAAAAAGGATCGAATTTTCAGAATAAAATGAAGTAATTTTATTTCACGAATGTTCCTCAGCCACATTCAGTAAGGTAACCTAAAATAAGCAAGTCAATCATATTAAGTTGTGCATCGAAATCGTTGCTAATCTATGTACAAGAATTGTGCGGAGGAGTAACACTAGCTAACAAATTATCTGACATCCGAAGAAATGACATCTATACGATTAAGACCAACTCAGTGAGTTGGAATCACTTAGTCAGCAAAATAAAGGTAGTATTCATCATGGACTGACATCAGTCGAGGAACCATTGAAAACCTAGGAGTACTGGACAGCTGTTTCGTCCTAGTGTGGGACTCCTCAGTAGCCACGTACCTACGACACAACTTATGTCAGTCAGTGATGAATACTACCTCAAAATTAAAATCCCCATTTATCTCAAAACCAAATTACATAATTAGCATGAAACAAGATCGGTTTACAGTCATTGTGGAAGTGAGAAACTAACTATACTCTTTGTCTGTATTTAACGGTCCAGTTGAAATCTTTTATAGCAATCCATTTTGCTAGACAAAGTAGTCGACGTATTTTATGAACCTTTAATATTTTAGAAGCATCATAAGTATAATCTTGTTCTTGCCTGTCTATGAGGTGCCTGTCTACTAATTCCATCCATCCAAATCAACATAGGACCAGGCATTGTTGCATAACGGTTCGAGTTGCCACACCTCATATCAGTACATCAAATAAAAGGCAGTAAAGTGGAAGATGAAATAAAAATTCAGTCAAAAGAAATATAAACGAAAGAAAAGGAAGAATGACAAAATGGTGAGATTCGGTGCAGTGTTAAGATGAGGATAATGTGTGCATGCATCTGCACCACTGACATCGGTTCTGAGCCATATCACCTAGAGTCTTCAACCACTGGTTCCTCTTGTCCCGCGAACCCCGACCGGCTAGTCTGCATAGCCCCCTACATGGTTCAAATCAACAGTCAAAGACTTCATACATTAGTGCCATGATTTAGTCTGGCCACCTCGAACCTTTTTCCAGCCTAGACCTACTTCGGCCAATATTGTGTGACGGGGCAGACGGCGATTAGACACATGTAACACGTATCCCAGCCGTCTCAGTCGATGAAGGTTCACAACCGCGTCAACTGATTTACCTCTTCCCTCTAAAACTCTACACCTAATTTCCGCGTTACTCACGTGGTGACACCATGGAATTGTTATGGTTTCGAAGCGCTAATGGTATATGTATATATTCCGAAACGAATATAATGCGTGCCCTCAGCTGATAGCTAACTTGGTACGCAAGAAACACTGACAGCGACCCGGGACGAATAACGAGAAGACCGAAGCTGGCAGATGGGAGAGTGTATCACTCCGAGAATATAATAACAATGAATCAATCCAAAACATGTGAATGAGTATACACATGAAAAATGACCTTGTCCGGAATCGGAGAAATCCGCATAGTAAGATTAAAAGTTAACCAATCGGCGAATTACTTTACAATGGGGGCAGAAATAGATTATTAGTCATACCGTAAAAATAATGTGGGAATGATACGTTAAAATGTTCGGATCAATAACAATGTTTTATACAAAACTGGAGCATCACAACAGGAATACGGCCTATACTACTAAGCAATGGTGGTCAAATACTTGAAGCCTTCTCGTGTCTTCCACCCTCAATGGCCATGTTTCACAGCCGTACGGTAGAACAGAGCGGACTTCTGCGCAGTACATGCGACTCTTAATAGACAATCGGATATTGGGGCGACGCCACAGGTGGCGTAAATTGGCAAAAGCCAACCGAGCCTTTTGTATTCATGCTCAAATTTCATCGGTCACTGAGCCACCAGGGCTGATCCTACTTCCCAGGTAATTGAAGTGGTCAACACGGTCAATCACTTCACTTTCTATTGTTAGCCGAGACACCGGTGAAGACTAATCCTGGAGCAACAATTTGTCTGGCTACTAATTGCACTGGTTAGAATCTTGCTTCCTTTCAGGCAAATATGTTACCGTAAGTGCAGTAATAAATTGTTCTTTTTCTTACATTTTTTTTATCCCCTCTGTCATACACTTCTTGGATCTCCCATTGTAGACTGTATTAATTAGTAGTGATTTTGATATCCAACTTAGTACGCTTGACTCCGCTAATTTTAAATTACCTTTCAACCATTGTAATTTTAGACTGTATCCAGCTAAACAATATTTGTAAAATAAAATGATGTTATCATTTTATTCAAATTCTTGTCCCATTACCAAGTCTTTTTTTTGAGAATGTTATTCACTAGTATTGTGTTAGTATTTTTCATACTATCCATCTGATTGTTGACACACACATTGAATATTGAACCTAGATTTTCGTTCTTAATATTTTTCAATTCAATCAATGGCCATTACGTATATCATCATCATTAACAGAGTTTATCAACTAGTTGAAGTGGATCTACAGGAAGTAATTGTAAAATTTATAAAGATAATTAATTAATTACTCCACATCGTCCAGGTGATGGATTGATTACCGAATTACGGAGTTGTTTTGATTGGTTCGCTTTCTTTTAGATTCCAATTTTAAAGTGTTACTGCACCAATTGTTTACTGTTATGTTCACTATGTTATGATCTACATTGTGTGTGTGTGTGTGTGTGTGTGTGTGTGTTAGGGTTTACGATACTATTGATTAACTAGGTTGGATAGATTAGAAGGCATAAATCAATGGTTGATTATCACATTGATGAACTATTAGGTTACAAATTCTTATTGAACTCTCAATTGAAATTGCTGTGTTAATATACAATGAGAAAGCTTTGCCATCAGTGCATATACTTTATAGTGTGGAACACTACTACTATAGTCATCCTCCTAATAGGTAAATCTATCATCCTGTTTACATAGTTTACTGTGAGATGCAGTCAATCTCAGCAATATAAGTCAGTAAGTAATTTCTATAATTGATAGCGTCTTTGTATTCTTTGAAGTGATAGAAACATGAGTCATTAAGCACTAAAGGTGATTAAAAGACTTGCGTGTCTGGCTGTGTAGAAATAGTGTAATGTAAAATAATATTAATGAACTGCTTAAAATTTTCTTGTACAACTCAAAATACTTTTCAGTTCTCAATTATTAAAACGAACCAGTTTTATACGACTTTCATTTCAATAAATTTTTTCTTTATAGGTCAATCATTTTTTCATTACTTGTGAATACTTCCTTCCTGTGATCTTGGTACTATTTATATCAGAAAAGTGGACTGTGTTTAATTTTCAAAGGAGTTATTTAAGAAAACTTGGCACGATGATGCTGGTGATAGCTCTGTTTTAACTGACCAGAGATTCGATATATATATATATATATATATATATATATATATATATATATATATATATATATATATATATATATATATATATTGTTTGGTAACTTATCATCTGTTATCTTTTCCCTTCTTGTGGTCATTTATAATTTCAGAAAACATGTACATATCTCCATATACATTCAGTTTATTTTTGGTTATTGTTGCTTATTACCTTCGGAGACAACTGTATAAAATAATTTCCCTCCATTTATGTTTATATGCATAGCCTTATGATTACGAAGCAAATCTTTTTGCGTCTTCCTTTTTTTTGTGACTTTGTTTATTTCTTCCATGATACATATACATATATGAAGCAAAAGTTGTAATTCCCTTACAGATAAAAACAACAAATTCATACGATTTATATTGGTCAGTTTTGTTGTCTATGTTTAGTTGTTCTAATGTTGGGGTAGGGGGAAGAGAGGTATTGTGTGTGATCTCTGCATCCTAAAGAAGTGTAACCAGAGTAATTAAACTTCCCTACTGTAGTTTACTATTTATTAACTTGGATCTCCTCTTAATGATGACGTAGATATGTATTGGTTCATGAAGCCATTGCTGGGAACAACTCAATGAAATAAAATTTAATGCAGGTTAAAAGTTAAATATTGAAATAAAGTAACAAAGCAATAAAATGTGCGGATATTAGTAACAAATAAATGTAAAGTATAGAGTAGTTGTATTTAAGTCTCTGGTATTAGCTTTCAAACGCATCATATGTCGAAACAGATTAAGTGGTTTATTGCTGGTTTCAGTCACCAAGATTTCAATGAGTTCCCTTGTGAAACTGTGTATGGAAAACTGTCATCGTATTTGTGTTCTCAGATCTCCAAGAAGTTTCGCTTGACCTATTGTATCATACGGGGAGATGGCGCTCCTCATACAACACGTCTGTCTCAGCGTAGTACATAACCCTTTGTTGATTTGCATTATTCATATTATTTCAGAGTAAATCGAAGGAAACTTTCAATATTTTAGATTTTAGGACGTGTAATATCGGACCTTTGTAACATCAGCGCTGACAGAGTTGTGAGCGGGATTGACACTTCCCGGCTGCCAACACCCTGGAAGGCTAGGTCTTCTTGACGCACCTGAAAAAGAAGGGTTAGTGCGTGCTCTCACAGCCTAGGGGACATCTGCTAGAGACCATTTACGTATGGCCTTTTGATGCCACGAAAATTGGCCTGTATTATGGTAGGTATGGTCGGACATACGTCCTGTGGTTTCGGATCACCACTGATGACTGGTCTAAGCCATCCTAATGCATCATTTTATTGCTTTTTGTCTAGTCATTATCCAACAGACCTTTCTGGTATTGTAGGACCTCGAGGGAACAAGCGCTCCACCAACGCAGCTTCGTGATATACAAGCCAAACCACCACGTCAGGGTAGCCGCTATCGGTCAGGACCTTTGTCACAGTCAAAGTTAAAAGATTATGTGAATTTTCATAGTCTTGATCATGATTTCCCTGTGAACACCATCTATAATGCGCAACAACGTAAATTCACTAGCTTCAGTTGTTACTGTTATGGTGATAATAACCTTTTTAGGTAGCTAAGATAAATAAATTCATGTTCCAGTACGTTGATCTGAAAATATATCATCTGTACGTTCAACACTTGGTCGATATCTGACAGTCAGTAAATGTCAACGTGTGACCTGACATAGGGGTCCATTCCATCACCTTACATCATTGTGGATTGGACTATCATTATACATCAATAAAAATGGAGGTCACTAGAAGAATCAACCACTTGCAGATATCTTCAATGTATCGTTCTCTAAAGACAAAATACCCACTGCTTGGAAGCAGATAAAAATTGTACCTGTGCCTAGGCCATCTTCTGGATCAGATGTTACTTTTCGACCCATTGCTATAACTTCCCCTTTTCTGAAGACAATGGAGGAATTACTTCTGCTTGTGATTGAGCCTTCATTGATGGCTTTCAGAGATCCAAAACAGTTTGCTTACAAACACCGGAGGAGTACTTCAGATGCAGCTACTGTCTTGCATCATAATATTGTTTCTAGTCTCGACAAGGGTACTAAGTATGTCCGTTGTGCCTTTTTGGATTACTCATCAGACTTTGACTCTGTTCCTAGACCACTTTTGTTAAATAAGCTTGCCATAGCTCACACTGATTCATGGGTTACAAAATGGCTGCATTCTTATTTTTCTGAAAGGAAACAGTACACTATTCATAAAGGAATGCACTCCACTTCATTGCTTACTGAAGCTGGTGTGCCTCAAGGTGCTGTACTTTCTCCTTTTCTGTTTTCCTTTTCTTTGCACGATTTGCCTTATTCTGTTGAAACTAATTTTATCAAGTATGCTGACGATTTCTATTCCAGTAAACTCTTCTTTGGATTGCTCGAAATTAAATGGATTCTTGTCTGAAGTTGGTAAGTGGTCTC